TGAATATCTCCTCAGCCTGCAGGATCGTTACGTTTTCTGAAATCTCTTCTATTCTTCCTGTTAAAGTCTTTCTTTAACGTATGCATTAAATTAGAAAGTAATTTATTATTCTTTTTTTCCAGTTTCAAGTAAACTACCTGGCTTTTTTGTTGTTGTTGTTCTTTGTACTATCATGCTGTTTTCCTTCTCAGTCACAGCAATATTGATTATTGTTTATTTATGTTTAAGTGGCACTTAGGAATCCGTGCCTTGTGGTGCTCGGTGTGTGGATTTGTTTTGCAGCACCAAGTATACCTTTGGTTGTGGGTTTTTTTTGCTGTGGTTCTCGAGTGTCTTTTGCTTCATGAAGTGTAAGCAACATACAGGCTGCTGAGGCAGGTGACGTTACCTGCTCGGTAGAAGCAACCTGGCTAACCCAGTAGTGAAGCACTTCAGTGCAGCAGTGTGGGGGGAGTTTTGTACAGGTGTTGCCCATATGTGTTGGGTATATGCCTGGAAATGGGAAGGATGATGGTAAATTTTTTCGTCTGTCAGTATATCATTTTTCACAAGGGGTGGAATTTTTTTGAGGGCTTAGACGAAGGACGAATTTTGCTCAAGGTTCTTTCGTTTTATTACTGTGAGATTTATAGCATTGCCAAGCCCCTTATTTGGACTGATCCCAGACCTGCCATCCCTCATCCATTTGGAGTGCAGAGCTCTCTTCCTCTATTTTTCCAGCTTTTACTCCAAAGGTTGGAAAAAAAAAAAATCAGCATTTGAACTGTTTTCTGAAGTAATTACTCTGTTCAGTCCGTCCTTCTAAATTAGAAAGTAAGGAATGTTTTGAAAAGACTTTGAGATTTCTATAGTTTTATTCTACATCCCACAATAGGGTTTTCATTTTGGAGCACTAACTTATTTCTACTTTAATTTCACGAACTCGCTTCCTGCCCTGTTAAAGTCACTTTGTCTGCCTCGGTTCCCTGCCCCTCTAGACTTAAAGCTGTTATGTTTTGGCCTGGATCCACCCATCCTGACACTGAAACGAAGCCCTGACTGAAGAAAACATTCCAGGAACAGTTTATCCTTTGCTAGTTGATATGGGTTCTCTAATGCAGGATTGCTTTTTTGGCTTTTCTTTCTTTCAGCACTGCTGAGGCCAAACGTCTTCCCAGCCGCTCTGAAATTTCTCAGCAGTTCACTTTCTTCTTACTACCCGAACAGCTTTGGTAGGTGGCTGCGTGGGGAGAGGTGCTATCGTGTGCTCAAGAGCCCCGTGCTTCAGTACCTTGTGGGGTTGACTGGCAAGATCTCTCCAAGTCTGACCTTTTCCTGGAGTACAGTTATTCCAGCATGCTTTATTCTGTATATCAAATCACAGAATACCGTGCTCTCTGTCTGGCATTATGGCTACTGTGCACAAAAGCAATTTTTCCAAATTTACCTGTGTCTTCCAGAATGTCCCTTTTTAAAGAACAGAATCAATGCCGTCCGTTCTTGCATCCTGCCTCTGCTCTGCATATTTTGTTACAAGTGCCTAATTAGGTGTGTTAGTGCTGGTTCCCAGTAGCGGGTATCGCGGAACCACTTACTGCACATAAAGGAGAAACAATAGACACAACTTTGTGACAATGTGTTCATGGCCACCTCAGGAAGGGTATGATTTTTAACTGGAAGCAAGATTTAAATGTCTAGAGACAAAGTTCAAACAAATGTTTCGGGTCATTACAAAACGATGCTTTGAGCTACAACGTTTCTGGGGCTGCCCTTCTCTCTCTCAGCCTGTCCAGTAGCTTCAGGCACTGAATTGCAGCTTGTCTAGCTGTTTGCTTCGTATCCTGGTTTTCTTCTGGCTCAAAATCGTGCGTGTTTTGCCTTTTGCTGGATTCTTCTTTTGTAGGCTCACATAACAACAGACGGAGAGTCCTAAGGACTGCTCTAAATGCACGTCCATGTTTCTCCTACTCCTCCCCCTGGTCTCCTCTCTCTCTCTCCCACCCCTTCCCAAATTCCATTAATATTTACAGAACACGAGCCAGTACTCCAGCATTAGCCTCAAATTCAGATTGAGATTTTTCTGGCTCTATCTGCAGCTAATGCAGAAGACAACAGAGATTAGAAATGTTCTTTTTTTTTTTAAAAAAAAAGGCCTTTTCATATCCAACACACTGGACAAATTGTGCTAGGTATAAATAGGCCTACAAAGACCAGAGCATATGTAAGAAAAATATTATATGTATTGCTGTTGGAAGGCAGTCAATTTGCTCATTGACTAAATTAAAAATTCCTGAACTTTAATTTATATAAAAGTAATTTTCACAGTTGTTCCTTCAAATTTTGTGTGGGGAGAAAAGACTTCCTTTCTTTAACTTACTGGTTCATTACAGAATAAGCAGTAAAATCAAAAATTCAGACAAAAAGATTTGCCGAACGTGAAAGTGAACCGTGTTGATAGTTGCTCTCCAACAATGTACAAGCTCAGCATTTGCAAGGAGGTATATAAACAAACGTTCACCTTCAGTCCACCAGTGAAGTTTCGCAAACATAAATTTCATAGGCAAGCTGAGAAATTGAGAGGGGATTGGAGAGAATAAAGAATTCAGATGATTTGTGTTGTTTTCTTTGACCCCAAACTAAGTTGTTTTTTTGTTTTTCATTTCTGTTCTTCAGTGCATAAAATGTGTTCTTAACCTTTACACATTGACTTTAAAATAAAAAGCCAAAATCAAAAGATAAATATTTCTGTTCTTCCAAATTGTTTTTATTTTAATGTTATTTTATTTGTTGGAAAGTATTTGCTGTCTTCCATAGTTTGCACATGCACTTACCCTTTTCCATGAGTGTTTCAAGACTTGTTTTTCCCTGGCCATGGGAAGGATGGCTAGTGTCCGTTTCCAGTTTGCATGGGATTCTGGCTACTGGTGACCTCAGCTTGTTGTCAGCAGATAATTTTTTGAACCATGTGAAGTAATTGGATTTAGTCCATCGTGTTGTGAGGCCAAGGGTTACTTTGGAGCATAGAAACTGATCTGCATTCTTCAAATGTAGGAGGAGTTCATCTGCACGTTCTGTGGAAGATGAATGGGCAGAGCAGCCTAGAGAAGCTGGCCCTGCGGTCTGCGTGTGCTGCTCTTCCTCTAAGGAATTGTGAGAATATATTTTAGCAGAGGATTCCTCAATCTACTGGATACCCCAAAATACAGAGTCACAGAAATGGTTGTGTTGTTTTGTTTTGTTTTGTTTTTTCATTCAATATGGATTTATTTATTCTTACATTTCTGTCCTTCCAAGAAGATACCAATACCCATCAGTCTGTCCTTTTGTCTGTAAATGTGTATTTTTTTTTTCTAAGAGCAGCTCTCTTATTTTGTTCTCTGCTCTCTGACAGTAGAATTGGGTTATCTCACTTTTCTGATGAACCTACATTTTCCAGATAAATGAAAACGTAGGGGTTTATTTTTCAAAACTGAAACAGTTGGATTGTCTTTTTGTTTTACTGGGATAAGCATCCGTGATGCTCTGGGGAATGGAGAATGATCTAAAATAAGCCTAGCTGTTTTCTGTTGTTTATCTGTTTCTTTTTGCATCTGTCTTAGTATTTATTGCTACCATCTGCATTTCATTTCAGGTTGTCTAATGTCTTATTCTGCATGTTTTGTGCCTGTTCTCTTTACATAGCCTTGGGCTGTAATATCACCATTTGCCTACCAGAGATCCATTTCTATCTGTAACAAAATGAATTGCATTCATCTGTGTAATTCATTTCTAATGAATGCCTTGCTCCTCATTAAACAGTGATTTACCTTTGTTTCCCTCTTCTACACTGTCAACACTAACCATTTTGAGGTCCTGTGGAGAGATGCTAATTTGAGAAAGCAAAAGTCAATGCAACTAGGCACTCACAAATGCCATCCTCGTTGGCACTTTCGAAAATATTCATGGGACGCTTTGTGAAATACAGTTTGCAGGTGGATAAGAGGACTCAAAATGTTTTCTTACTCATAAGCTTTCAATGTACAAATACAACACTTCAGAATTTAAATGCATTTTTCCTTGTCAGTGTCTTGAACAGGTAGCCAAGCTTGTCAATCTTTTAAGACCTTGTTGGCTTTGCAGGAATTTTACAGATCACAGGCACGGTTCGGGAGGCTATGCTCTTGCTACCCTGTCCCCTCTTCGCCTTTTCAGGAACATTAAAATATTTCAAACTCATTTTCAGAATAATTTTTTGAAATACTGAATTTTGAGATATGTTGGAATGTTTCAGACTTGAAAATACTTCTTTTTTTTTGCGAAATTCAAATATTAATGTAAGCATTTATTGGCTTTGTGTATCTAAAGGAAAAGGAATAGTACCATTAACTAATGAAATAGGGATCATATAGTGATTTTGTTACAGATTTGGTCCATATGCAACTTTTCTGTAATGCCCTTTCAACCCGTCCTGCAGCATCCCCGTTTCCAGCCCTCCTGCGCTTCGCAGAACAGCAGAATCTGCTGTGCGTGCACATAGATCTGTCCTGCTGATGGGTGGTGGTTAGAGTATAGGATGAACTACCAAGTTCATTTTCAGTTTAAACCTAAGCAGAGTTTGAACCGCAGCAACAGGTTATGAATATGAAAATACTGTTGGTAAGCGTAATTTAAAGCAATACAGATGTTTTTTTAGGAAGTTGTTTTATTTACAGCATCTTTAACTCTTATTTTTGTGATGGCACAAGCTACTCCTTGACACTTTTGATCACTCACACGAATTTAGCTTGGCATTTTACAATATTTATTCTTGTGTTTGGCCGGGTTGATCCTCTGTTGAAACTGCAGAATTGTCAGTGTGCATCAGTTGAGTTACACCATGGATTAATTTGATCATAGTATTATGAGGGGATTGAAGCATGAGAGGCTTTTTTTGGTTTGTTTTGGTTTTATTTTTTTTAACTGGTGCTGCCTAAGTCATGTAGTATTTGGAAGTAAGAACACTGATTAATGTAACAAAATTTTATCTTTAATATACATTTTAGAGGACAAAACTGACCTTGAGAACAGTGTGATGCAGAAGAAAATTAAAATCCCCAAACTCTCTCTCAATCACGTAGAAGAAGCTGGGGAGGTTACAGATTATGGGGAAGAAGATGTGGAGCTTAGACACAGTAAGGTACTGAAGTCTTTCCTTTTTTTTTTTTTCTTTTTTTTTTCTTTCTCCTCTTTCCTTTTTTTTTTTTTTTTCTTTTTTTGGAAGTGCTTGGGGCATATACAGATGTCATAGCTTAAGAATTCCAGGCCTGCTTTTGATCCCCTTGAAACACTGTGTTTGGTGAAATTGGGTCAAATTTTGTGTGGGGGTGGGGAACGGGTTTTCAAAACCTGGTTTATGTGCAATCAAACAGTTTCCTATTTATATTGTCTGCACAGTTTACTTTCCATTTGAGATTTTTGGAACAATGCTCTTCCACTTCGGCCCAGAACGCTTTAAAAGTCACCAGTTATATGAATGTCAAGCAGCTGTTCTCGGTGGCACTTGTGACCTATTGTGTGCTACTAGTTTGGAATTGGAAGGGGTGCTCTGAGGCTTCCCAACTACAGCAGTGGATGAGAAGACAAATGAACAGGACTACATCCCTCCATTATAACTGCCAGTTGTCGTTTTAGGTCCAGATGCCAGAAACCCACTATGTAAATGTATTTATTTTTTGATATCAAATGATTTCTTTAGAAGTCTGCTAACCTTCAGAATAAAATACTGCTCTGTGGCTTCATGTGTTTTGCAGCTGCAGGAATGATACTAGTACATTTCTTTATGGTGGGCCAGCAGTTTGGTTTGTTTTGGTTTGGTTTTATTTTTTTTGTTGTTTTGAACATACATGGAGCAGGCGTAACATCAAATAATCTAATTTTCTGCCACATTACGCATGGATATTGTGGTGTGGGAATTGATAGTGTCAGCTTCTTGTCTCTAACCTATGCGCTACATTTGCTTTCCTTGCAGTTGCTTGGAAGTTCAAATGCTTTTTCTAAATTTGGCCAATAAAACTTAGTGACTTTTTGCCCATACTGTCACATTTTAATACTGCTATGCAGGCCCCAGAAAATATGTGTGCTTTGATTTTTAGGGTTTGTGCAGATGACAAGGTAAATTCTGCTGAGGGTTCAAAGGACATGAAGCCTCTGCAATGCAGTACTGATACAGAAGGAATCAATTGATGAGGGATATAAGGCTGGACGATACATTCTGTCTCCAACTTCGGTGTTTTCAATTCCCTTTCAATGTTTGCTGGTAGTGTGAACTCAGTCACGAGCAACAGGCAGTTGGGTGAACGTGCTAGAGGAATAGTCAGAGAAGGTTTTGTCTCTCAAAGTGTGGGAAGGACAAGCCCTCTGTTCACAAAGCAGCTCTGTATGGTCTGCCGCTTTCATCTCTGATGTCCTTACAGGTGACAAACACAGCACATAGTTGATTATTTCTCTTAGTTATCAGAAAATCAGTTGCTGTCGGAAATCTAAATGTTAGGGGTAAACTTTGAAGGAAAAGAGATTCAGATCCAAATTTTTTAAAAAATAAATTATCTTTGTGTGAGGAATCAAGTGACCTATATACACTCGGCTTGCAAGTGTTGCACAAATGCAGAAAAAAGGCCTTTAGCTGCCTCAGAAGTTTGTATGTGCATTTAGCCGAATTACGTGTACGTGATAGTTATGATATATAACCACAAGAATCTGTTAGGCAAAACATTTCTGCAGGCACACTTTGTCTTGCTGTTTTTGGAAAACAGGAATGTTAACAGTTCCCAAGTCTGTAGAATTTTAATTTGTATTACATCTTGCTGCTTGCCTAATTTATTTGTTTTTTTTATTGTAACATGCAGAGACAAGATGGGAGAAAACAAAGTGAAGGTACACACAAAAGCATTGAAGCAGTTGTTGCTCGGCTTGAAAAACAGAATGGGATGAGTCTCAGTAGTACTTCCAGCCCTGAGGAGGCTTTTATGGAGACTTCGGAAGGCATGAACAACATGGACGATGCTGTAGTTCCTCGGATTTTATATGAAGAATTGCTGAGGAGTTACCAACAGCAACAAGAGGAAATGAGACACATTCAACAGGAGCTCGAGAGAACGCGGAGACAGCTTGTGCAACAGGCAAAGAAGCTGAAGGAGTATGGGGCACTCGTGTCAGAAATGAAAGAGCTCAGAGACTTGAACAGGAGACTCCAGGATGTACTGCTTCTAAGACTAGGTAGTGGTAAGTGCTGGACTTAAATGGGACTAGTTTTAATGAATTTTGCAAGTGTGATCAATAGTAGCGGAAACGTATTTGAAGAATAGCAGTGGTTGTTAAACTGGACATGGAATGTTAAAAGGGTTTTCTGCTGTGGCTGTACAATATGTGTCGAATTTGTATGCTATGTACGTCTGGGTTTTTCTTTAATGATAGTAGAGGTCTTTGTGCTGGTGGGGCTGAATCGGAGTTCCATTTTAAGCAGCTGTATTTTAAAGCGTCTCTGACCTTCCAGTATATGCTGAAAAATATAATAAAGCATCATCTGCAAAATATACCAATATGTTCCAGTTTGAAGAAAAAAAAAAAAAAGAAGATAGAAAAGGCAGTGGAGTGCATATTTGGGCTAAAACTATTTCATTCTTTTCAGTTAGGGATTTTGCTTATTGTTATGTAAGTGACTGTGTTGCCTTCCGTTTTCTGCCCCCTCTTCCCATTAGTAGCTCATTAGAATGTGATATATTCCTGAACTTCTTAGCAGTGGCTTTAAACAGCCATGCTATTTGGAAAATAATGGATTGTTAAAGAATAATGAAAAAACTTTTTATATTAGTGTCCCGTTTATCAATACTTGTTACAAAATGCAGGTTTGTGTAATTTGGATTTAAATTTCAAATATCTTGAGTCAATTGCTGATTCGTTTTGGTTTACAATTATTTAACCATTATGTTGGAATAAATGGGAAAAAAAAACAAAAAACAAATAAAAAGTTCATCCTTTTCATTGGAGATGGTAATCTTGGAATACCTTCGACTATTTTATTAATTTATATTTATTTGCTATTAGAATGTGGTATTGCTATGTTGAAGATTTGCTTGGTGACTGAAACTTGGTTGAAATTTGTGCATCCAAACTTAGCATGCTGGTTTTTATGTCTGCCTTTGTGTATCTGGAAATTCTTGCATGTAAATTGGATATTGGCTCTTCTACTTGACTTGAACGAGTGCATGCAACTTGCATGTGGGTCCGAGTTACATTCACGTGCAGACCTGAACCCGAGGGCGCATGTGCCTGTGCAGCAGCATGTGTTAAGGTGTGCCCGCAAGTTTGGAGCCAGGTTCTTGAAGTAGCATCTGACGATCTAAACTGGGTGTTTGATTGTGAATGCTCGTCATTGTTACACTGTGCTTAATTGCAATGTCATTACTTATTATAAACGTTCTAGTTAACTTTTTAAATAAAGCTAAATAGGCAAGGTTTCCGCAGTCTGGAAAACGCGATGCGGTGCGCAGTAGATTCCACTGAGCTTTCTAAAATTTTCCTTGGATGGAAAGATGTTTCTTCATCTGCAAGTAGTTAGCTGGAATTTATGTGAATGGAGCACCAGCCAGATGTTAGTAAGCAATGGGGCTGAACAGCGTAAAATACCAATTTAGTTAGTAGACTTGACAGCAGTTTGAGTGGTGAGACCAGCAATGAAATGAAGACAGCTTCTGAATTCTGTCTCATTTCTTTCACTTTAAGAAAGAAGGGATGCACTTTTTTACTTGAGCCGGATCAAGAAAGCTTGGGAGGAAAAGAAAAAAAAAGAAAAAAGAAACAAAACCTGAAACCTCTTTGAAAAAAAATGCTGAATCTTCTTTAAATACTGGGCTTGAATTTCCGTTGTATTAGTTTGGCACCTGCTTTACCACTGAAAATAAATCTCAATTACACTGAAGATGAGTTCTTCTAAATTAATCACGTACTTGGACAAATATTAATTACAGTTAACTTCCAAAAAATTCCCTTGTTGTTATTACTTGTATGGAACATTTTGTGGATGACAAAGGTATTTGAATTTGGCCCTACGGGCTGTGTCCTTCACAGGGTTTGCGTTTTCTAAGACTCAGTGTATTAACCACTGATTACTCTTGGTTTTCCTTGCAGCCTCATTCACGGTAGAGAATTGAGCAGATTCTAAAAAGATGAGTACAAAATTAGTGAATTACTGGAAGGGGAGACCTCTTCAGCAATTTATAAATTAGGGAGTCTGATGACAGTATGAAAAAGTGCTACTTTTAATCAAGAAATAGATGTGTAAAGACTTCTTTAGTTGTCTTTACTTTTCTAGCTTCTAAATGAGGTATGTTTGGATATGTGAATAATCTGTGAAAATTGTTCAGAGAATAGATTACATCCTGAATTCATCTTGTTTCAGCGATCTCGTAAACCTAGAGCTTCAAATTACATGTAATTTGTGTTACATTGCATTTCTAGCAGGCTGGACTTAATGCAAACTAATTGCATTTCTGTTTCACCTTAGAGACTTGTGATTTCTTTGCATGAGATGACAGCTGTTTTGTGCTGATGAATTGCAGCTGTGGGAAACGTGTGCCTGTTGCCATTTTAAACTCGCAGATCAGATGTAGAACAGCCTCTCAAGCTAACATTCAGTCAAGTATTCAGTCTGCTAATTTCCCATCAATATGTTGATTTCAATGAGCAGCCAGAAGTCAATGTATTCTGCTTTAGACCTAGGCCTTCGTCTCTGCTACTAAACTTGAGCCACTCTTGTGGGAAGAGTGAGGTTCCTCATCTTCCACCTTCCACATGATGACACCGAATTGCTCTTTGTTTTAAAAGAGCCTTGAAAGCGGATACGGCAAATGACAGCAGTGAAATCAGTACTGATCCATGGGGATATACTGAAGCTTTTGTATGATTTGGGTATGCTGTTGCTCAACAGGTCCCCTCCTGGAGGAGGCAGGCAATTGACCAGGGCTCTAGGGACCAAAGCAGTGGGGGAACATGATGACTGTCATGGAAGAAGTTATGGTATCTCTCATCTGAGCTCCTGGAAGAATGTGTGCAGCCAAAGCCTCTTTTTCCTTGCCTACTTTGGTATCAGGAAGCCCTGGGATTGTAGGTCTTTGCAGTTTATCTTTGTTCTGTTGTATCTGAAAACATGCTTGCTAATTTGCCCTGGTTTTATCAGTGGACAGTAAGGTGATTTTTAGAGAATTAAATCACTGACTCTTCCCTGTAGGGTTAATTTTAAATAGTCCTTGGATTGCAAAAGATAAGCATTTTGATAACTTTTTCAAAAGTAGTTGTCTCCAGGGTAAGATCTGTGCAGTTTGTTATGGTTGTGTATGGCCAGAAGTAGTGAAGTTGTATCAGGGATAATGTTTGGATGGTGTTTGGTCCCTGATAAATACCACGTTTTCATGTTGCATTGCTAAGAACTAGTGTTGTTGTAGAGTCAGTATATCCACCTTCGTTCATTTGTGTTCGTTCATTAACACGCACACACACAGCCCCCCAAGTGGTTATTTTTAATCCCAGTTTAATTTCAGTGATCCAGTTTACAGTGTCTTGGGATTGACACCAGGATAGGGAGAAGTGGTATTTGTGTCTTACCACGTGTAAGGAATTACTCTTAGTCACCTTTTCTAGTTTTGTTTGACTTTTTGATGTAGAAGTCATCCAAGATTTCTATCAAGTACCTGTACAAGAAGTAACATATATACAATATTACCACTTCTCAGACTCCTGTTTTCATTCAAATTTTGGTAGACCATGTGGAAAACAGCTTGCTGCTTGCAAATGTATATTGACCACTTTATCAGTTAATTTATTTTGGCTTATTTACTAATTTTTGAGTAGTGTGTAGGCTAAGATGTATTTTCGAGAAAAAGAGGTGATGAAGGGAAGCCTCCTAGCTCTTCATCCTGCATATGAAGTTGCTGGCCTCTCAGTTATTGTGGAAACTTTACAGTCAGAAGGAGAAAGATTTTTGCAATAAAACATGTTTTCTTTTTGCATTCCGAAGAATTGTCTTTATTTTTTTTATGATCCTTATAACGTAAGTACTATCGTTGTTAAGCATTTAGATAGTGGCATATACGTTTGTATGTCCTGTTCGTCATCTTTAAAATAAGATGCGGAGCATGAGAGCTACAGAGAGGGGAAACTCTTACAGTATGGTGCTTGGCACACAGCTCTCATCGTTACGGACACGCAACTCCCATTAGCAGTGGAGGAATCATGTGGGTTGCATGTCTGATTCACAACATGCCAGGCTGAGAAATACAGTCTTTAGTAGGTGGTGAAAGTAGCTGCAAAGACTGCTTAGATTTCTGTTCAGGAAGAAAAAATTAGTAGAATTAAAAGAAGACATTTTAAAGTTTCTGTTGGTGACTTCTAAGCAAGCAAGCGAGTCAAGCATGAATTGCACTAGAGGTTTTTCTGACCTGCATAGAGCTATGGTTATTGTGGACTTTGATCAGCTGTTTTTCTTGAGGGAACTCCCAGAAACCAAATCCCATCTGTGTCAATATATTACTATAAACAAAACAGTAAAAGACTAGTAAAAGCATTTAAACTCAGATAAAGGTTCCCTTCTAGGAAGAAGGTGGTTTTACTTAGGTGTGACTTTCAAAGTGTAAGAAATCTCAAAATAGCATTTTATTGGAGAATGGGTTCTTATAACAGCTAAAAGTTCACTTCTTAAGTTCACACTGGCAATTAGGTCACTGCATCTCCTTGTCAGGTGTACCCCCACCAAGATGCGTGCAGGCTTCAGGTGGTTTAATGAATCCAGGTTTTTCCCCCAACCTGAATCAGTTTAGCAGTCTCGAGTTTAAAAAGCTTAGTTTGTCTTGGCTGTCCCATTGTGTATGCATGATAGTAGAGGTGCTTATTAGGATTACTGTGAAATGGTATCACAAATGATATGTTTTTTCTGCTTTCTCTATTTGTGCCATGCTTGCGTTGCATATGAGTCTTAAGGCACTCTGTTGGTGGCACTTGAGGGTGGGGTTATATGAGTTGCCAAGACAACTTGTAGTTGTTGCTGAGTGCCAAGTGGCAGTCAGCTGAGAATATTTAGCTAGCTACGTAGGTGTAGAATAAGTTATAGGATAAATGTCAAACGCTGACAATGGAGGAAATGCTGATATCACTGTATAATAATCTGTAAAACAAGCTTCACAAAGGAGAAGGAATGAATGCTTGACTTGTTCCAGGTACAGGAACTGTTAAAGATTCGTGAGCTCTGGTGCCAGCTTGACTCGCAGGGTTAGATCAATGGAGGGCTTGGTCTGTGCGTACAAACACTGAGGAGGGTTGATGAACCCTGACAGTGACCTGATCATTGAATTGTCGTTTGTTGGAGATGTCAGGGTTGGGCTACCGAGTGCTGCAGGGCACTCAGCTCCAGCCTGGTACAATGTAGTTCTTACAGGTGGGTGAGTTTATCCTTGTAGTTCTTGGAAGGGGCTGATGACCGTGGTGTCCCGGGTCTCAGCTGGCAACTTTGCAGTGTTAACGAACCACCGTCCCTGCGTGGAACTTCGGTGACTGCTGGAGATTCTTGTGAGCCTAGAAACAGCCATCCATGATAGGCTCAGGGTCATAGCCTGTTCCTAGACTTCTGATGTAACTGCTGCAATGGCTGGAATAATGAAATACAGTTCACAAATTATTTTGTTTTGTTGTTCTGCCTTTTTAGGAACACTTTATAAATTTGATTGGGAAAAGCTGGTGACTGACAAAATAATTATCCTCCCTTGAAGCCTTAAACATATGCTTAGTAGTACTCTGTTGTTTAATCTGTGCTTAATTTTTGTTGATCACATTAAAAATAAAAATCCGCGTGTTGGATGGATCGGACAATCAAAATTCTAATTTATGTGTTTTTTCTTAACCTTGGATACTCTTTCGATGCATGATACTTTAGCATAAGTAGCGTAAGTCTGTTTCCTTTATAGCGTTTCTGTAGATCCTTGCTGTTTTTAATATACCTCTGTTACATCTAAAGAGATTTCAAATTTCTATAAAATTTTTAATTCTATATGGAGAATTTATATAATTATCCCAGTAATTTATGCAGGTTTCCTGCAACTATATAGTAATTCTTATGTGAAGATTTACTATGGTTACTTTTGTTTATAATTTCAGTGTCATTTTAACATAATTTCCGTAGTGTGCATTGAAGCAATCGTACCCGTCTCTGTAATTGTCCGTATGCTTTAAGAATAAAATTAAACATTTAAATTAAAATCAAAAATTTTAATGTTTATAAAGCAGAGTTACTTATCCTGCTTTTATTTATTGATGTTCAGAGGTAGATTTTGGTTTATACTCTTTCTGACTTTAAAATGAACATGACTGTTGTGTTATTTTATGCTAACCATGGATGATGAAGTGATTGATTCCATGTTCTCTGGGATGGCAGACAGCTCTCTTTTCTTAACTGTCTAGGACCTGCCATTGAGCTTGAAAAAGTAAAACCAGAATCAATTGAGCCTGAACCTGAGGTACAGAAGACCTTCAGTGAGGAAGCAAATACATCAACGTACTATCCTGCCCCCGTTCCAGTAATGGACAAGTATATTCTCGAGAATGGAAAGGTATTTTAAATTAAATATAGCATGAATAGTTTGTAAATGTCCATCAGGTGATTTTCATGTGGAATTTTCATGATATGGAGGGGTTTGCATGGTAGCAGCTTATATAAGCTTCCTCAGCTTTCATAAAGGTATGCTATTATGCTGAGGAAAATTATGAAATTACACAAATGTGAACAGCATAGAAAATTATCCTCGGTGATGAGAGCATCGAATGCTGTGCAACGCAAGGACTGTAATTGTTAAATATGCATGCACAAGCACATTGGCACAGTCTCCATTTGGTGACATACAGAAACCCACGGAGTGTAGACCGAGGTCAGTAACCCACATTATAAAGTCACGTTAGTCTATTTAACAAATTCTTTTTCCTGAGAGGTCTTTAATGTTGTTAATGTGCTGTAGTCATATTGCAGAGAAGCCTTCGTGTTTTGATTGGAGTCCAGTAGATAATTTCATGAACCCTGAAATGAAAACGGGCTCCCTTGAACCTGGTAGGAGCGTTGCCACTGATTTGAGCTGATGTAATACTACGTTACAGATACTTTCATACAGTTGGTGAAATACCATCTAGCTACAGTTTGCCAGAACTCGACTGATAGTGTTTCAGACTTCAGCATGTTTAACACATTGTCTGCTGATGTACCTAGGCCTGAGTTTGTACCTGCTGCCGTTATCATTGAATGAACATTATATTTCTTTTACAAAACTGTATGTCCCTCAGAATCGCCTATGCGGAGCCTGTTTCTTAGGATATGTATGCCTTCAGTACCAGAATCTGAGGACCTTTTAGGAGGAAATGTCCGTTTCAGCTTCGGCATGCAGTGGAATAGCATGAAATATTACATTTTCAGATTTATGTTACAAGATTGACTGCACAAGTGTCTGTCATTCTTGAAGATGAACTCGACATAATTGTTGAGGACAAAATGTACGTGAAAAATAGTATAATCTTGGCAGTTTGACAGGTATTTGGTTCAGATAGCTTTTCTTGCCTAATATCTTTAACGTATGTGTTTGCTTGTGTATTTTGTGTATATTTGTGCAATGAAAACTTAGCATATATTACCGTGAGAGTTTGATTTACCTCCTTTTTTTCTGCTTAAGGTCTGTGGGATAGGGCCTTTAGTATTTGTATGCAGCTTTTCCTGCACCTTCATGTCATCTGCCAGCTCCTTGGCATTTCTGTTGCTCAAGTTCTCTCTGTCTTTATAGATATTAATATCTCTTTGACTTTCTTTTTGTAGTTTTGGTATTTCTTTAAGTTTGCCTATTTACTGGGGCTTCAGCCAGCTCAGATGCAAGAAACATGAACTAATAATGTATTTAGAGCGTTGGAGGGTGGATTTTTCAGTATTCCTTATTTATGCCTTTTTTTCATTACTCCTTTATTGACTTGCACCACTGGAGTAGTTGAAGTACTTTTAGAAATCGTGCCTTTTGTGGCATCGGATTTGATCTTCGTAGGATTCTTTCAAAGCAGATAAATCTGTCCCCTCCAGAGGGAGAACGGAGTTTCCGAAAGAGCACCTATGGCATTCATTTAAAGAGGAGAATAGAAGAAGAAGAAGAAAAAAAAAAAAGAAAAGCAAAAAAAGAGTTCATCTTCTGAGATACGTTTTAGATATATTGCACCTGTTAGCACAGTTACAGTGGTGAGCATTGCTTTGAGTTTGCTGTTGTTTCTGTTGCATTGTGCTTGAAGGGCGATCCTGCAGTTGCTGAAATTGGGGGTAAAGTTCTCATTGATTTCATCAAGCCCAAGGGTCTGGCCCATGGGACAGCTCTTCCAGCAGGAAAGAAATGGCTTCTGAGTCTGGAGTACAGCAAGCTTCCCGCAGCTTTGGGAGAATAGGAAACAGTACCGAGCCTGTTTTACAGAGAGGTAAACTGAGACATGGGCAGATTAAATTCCTTGCCGTAACAGTGCTAGAAATAGAAAAAGAAAGACATAAGATTTCTGTATCTGTGGCTGTCTGTCACGTAGTTGCTGTTACCAAAGGTGTTTCATACCAGTGATAACTTTTTTGATAAATCAAGCATGTTCAAAAGCAGGTGATCTGTCTGAAACATAAACATTGACAGTTTTTGTTGTAACTTGTGTTCTTTTAAATAACTTAAAGCTAATGAATAATGTAGTACCTTCAGAGACTAAAGAATTTTTAGCAAAGACAAACCCTACTTTTGGCAGAGGGGAATCAGATTTTTGATTGAATACAGCAAGCTCTACAACGAATATAATACAGACATCCAAAATTTGGCTTGTCACAACATTCCTAATCTTAGATTTTTTTCTAAGTAACTTATACTAATTTTTACAGATAAGTTTTCCAAGACTGAAGCAAAAATAACTGGATCATAACTGTAATGTGATTGTTTTCTTAGCACAGACTACTCACTCTGATTGAAGTTGTCTTACAAAATATATAGAGAGCACCAAAAGAGTATGAATTTTTTTAGAGCAATTATGAAGAGGCTCGTCAACAGAGAAGGAAGGAAGGAAGGAAAAAAAGAAGTGTTCATGTTGTGGTTATTACTAGTTCCATTTCTGTCCGTTACGAAATCTAAATACCATGCGGACTTGTGAAAAGCTTCTTAGAATCCCTTTAGTGTAGAAGATTCTGCAGCAGAGTCAGCTTGCTTTTTATAGTTTTGTACTTTGGGGAAGTTAGACTTTTCATTTGGTTTTTATAACGTAGCTGGTAGCCAAACCATTCATATTTTTCTATTTAAGTTTTTAAACAACTAGTTGCTTTTGAAGGATGATGTTGTAATAAAAAAATTCTTCGGGTTATAGCCCTCATTAATAATTAAAGCAGGTTTCCATTTAAAGGAAGAATGGTATTTGGTTGAATACAGGCAGTAAAATTATGGGTATATAAAATTTTACAGTAGCTTTGTCCAATTTTCATTGCATTTAATGAGACTTATGTGATACTGTTCAGATCTGTATGGGTAGCAGGCACAGTTTATGTAATGCCACATGAAAGGAGTAAAAATATGAAAAACTAAGAGCAAAACAGTTAGGGCAAACAGAGTCTCCTAGTATAGTTTTGCCATAGAATTTTACTTGCAGGATTTTTTTTTTTAATCATTAGGAGGCAGTTAGTGTTTATTAAAGTGTTAGTGCTACAGAAGGAACCTCCATTAGATTTTATGAAACCTAAATTTTGGATGTAACAATCCAATTGATAACATATTTTTGGTATTTTGCACTTTTAGAGATTATCTGGAAGTGACTTCTATCTTTTTTCTTTCCAGTGAGTGAACTCTTACCAGTCATTAGAATAGCTAGGTCACGCATTAGCTCGTTATGGACGATGTGCAAATGTGGGTCCAACTGAAGGAAGTTCATCACCATGTGAACAAAGCTTTCTGTGTGCAGAGGCAGTTCAGGTGTCTGCACTGTCGTCTTAGGAGCATAGACACACAATTACAAAATGTTCTCCGTGGTTCCACACAGAGCCAGCATTTGCGTCCTGGTTGCACTTGTGTCAGACCTGTGCTGATGCCAGTGGAGTCATTTTCCTTGCTGTTGATTGACGGTGTCCTGGTTATCAGGATGATCAGCTCCAACACACACAGTGGCAGCCTAAAGATAACACTCGGATTCTCATCCTGCATTCATCTTAAGTCTGGAGCTCTGGGAATCTTGGAGCAGAGATACGGTATAGCTCTGTGGGAGTCAACCCAGCATAGTCCATGCTGAGCAAGACTAATAAGCACAAGTAGACTTGAGCAGCTTCCTTTTGGAGACTCTACAATGACTTCACACTGCATTTCCCAGTCCCCATATTATCCTGCTTTACTACTTCAGTGAAATATCTCTACTCCCTGTTGTCTGGATAATGGAAAGCTTGTGATGTTGCAGCAGTGGGTCATTGCCTCACCATAAAACAGTATTCACCTGGATAGATTGGTCGTACATGATAGGCAAACTTCATGATAGAATTGAAAGTTTTACAAATCGTCCAAACTCTCTTGGCTTCTGTTGAAATTGGAGCTCTCAAAATCCCTTCTCCCCCTTCTAGTTACTTCAAACAAGCAGGGTGAATTTTGCCAACAGATACAGGATACAGCTTAGGAAGTATTTCCCTCTCTACTGCCTCCGAAATATGCTTTGGTTAAAATCTGTTTAAGCCTAAGGGAAGCTTTCATATTGAAGACAATGTTTCAGCTTGCTCCTGAGTTAGGCTGGTGCAACTGCTTGGTTTATATGCTGTGCATACCTTTGTAATAGGATGTGTTTACTGTTTCCTCCTTCTATCTCTATTCCTGACCATAGTCTTTCAGGACATAGGCTATGGCGGGGGGAGGGAAATAGAGAGTAAGAAGAATTGAATACAAAAAGGGAACTATATTATATGAGGTTGACTTGAACTCCCTGACCCACAAAGTTGGAAAAGTTTCAGAATTAGGGAAAATGGATTTGTTCAGCCCTAATTACTGTTATTATAGTATCTAATATTAATGTTCCTACAGCACTTGGATACTGTTGTGTGCTACATACCATAGATAAGTTGTTATTATTACTACCTTCTAGGTCCATCTTGGCAGTGGAATTTGGGTAGATGAGGAGAAATGGCACCAGCTGCAAGTAACACAAGGAGATTCAAAGTATACAAAAAATCTAGCGGTTATGATTTGGGGAACAGATGTTCTCAAGAACAGAAGTGTCACAGGAGTTGCAACCAAAAAAAAGAAAGATGCCGTTCCCAAGCCACCTCTCTCACCTCACAAATTAAGCATTGTCAGAGGTAGGTTATTTGAAAACTTTTGCTTCCTGCTTTGGAGTTTAACCATTAATCTCTGAGTTGAAAGATGCTTCTTTTCAGCTCATATAAAATTAACTGATTAAAAACTGTAATTCAAATTGCTATTGCATTGTGGAATGCATACGTATCCAGGAAAAGTAAAACACATTGCAATAGCTGTGCACAGCGCAGGCCTTCACAGCTGAAGAGTTGTTCATTGACTTCAGTAAGGTTCAAGAAGATCATCACTTTAAACCACTTGCAGGACAGGACTCTCAGCCTGGAGAGCAACACATTGTTTTGGAATTCATTTATTACATAATGATTTTTAAAATGCATATATTCCTTTTAGCAAGCCTGAGAGTAGCTTTGCCACATTCTTTCATCCAGAATGTAACCAACTCTGGCATGAGACACAGAAACCATTATAGCTGTGACTATAAAAATACGCATACTTTCAAAGGCAAGAAAGAATAGCGTTACCCTTTTAAGTGGAGAAAATGGAAATAGTACAAATTAATTGTTGCACTTGAATTGGAATTTGAACAGGAAGTGTAAATCTCTGACCTATCTGGCAGGAAAAATTGCAATGACACTTTCAGTAATTGCAAGCCTGAGTCCGTGTGTGTAGTACTTTGAGAGAGAGAAGGCCTTCTCCTTTTTTTAAAATGAATAGTGAATTTCAGTCCCTTTGTATCATCATACTTGTGTTTTGCATTCATTTCTGTCTCTTGGTATTTCAGTCTTCTTTTTAAGTCAGAACTGAGTCGGTTCCTCATGGAATACGTACTGAAATGGAATTTTTAGGTTTTGTGTCCATACTAAATTATAATAGGGCTGAAAGAAATCTCCGTATTTGATTTAGCTTCATTATTCTGCATTTTCGGTTCTTAGTTGCTATGTGCTCTTAACTACGAACTCTTTAGGAGCTGTGGTCATCTGCCTTGCAAGTACCATGTTTTGGAAGTAAGAAATATGATTCCTCTGAGTGTGTGTGTGTGTCTGTGCCTGTGTTGTGTGGAGAAAAGTTGGAAACTGATCTTCATACCGTCATCGTTTTGTATTCTGTAAGAAATGAGTAAAAGACATGGGATTTTTTTTTTTTAGTAATCTGCTTCAAGAATATAAGTGGAAGTGCAAGCTGTTCCATACTGATTTTCTAGTTCTGGCTGGGACCTTTTGGTACAATCCTAACGTGTGTAGCAAAGAATGGTGTACTGGCCGCGTAAGGAATCCACTCTGTGGCTGTGGCTGCCCTCGTCGCCTCCTAATGGGAGCTGGTTACCCGGATGCACGCTTACAAACACGCAGTAAAACTGAGTTATTTTCCACTGGCCCATCACAAAGAGCTTTCTGGTTTCCCTGCTGGAGGCTGTTGTTCCTCAGCTTTGCTGGCAAGGTTACTTACGTGAGGATTTCCTCTTCTGCTTCAATCAGGGCCAGTCTGTGTTGCTTGAGCCATTTAAATGATAGATTTCTTCCAGCTCCCCTTGGTTTGACTACAGTGAGTTTGGGAGTATGCTCCAACAGAAGCATTGTTAGAGGGAGATGAGGCCCTTCCCTTTCTTCTTTTCCATACCTTTACACTGTCCAGCAATTCAGCTCTTCCCTATTTCCTTGTTTTTCTGTTTTCTGTCATAGTTTTGCTTCCAACCTCTACCCACACTTGAGTTCTACCGTTCCATGCCCTGGTTTTCCATGTTTCTCTTTCCAGTGTTTATTTCACCTTGTCTTTGACTCCCTTTTTGTTACTCAAGACTGTACCATCTCCACTTGAACCAGTTAAACTGCATGGCCGATGTTTTAGGTGGCAGCAGACAGACTTTCTATATCAGCGATACTGGGTAGCACGTAACCATGGCTTTCCACGTCGTTGTGTCCTTTGCATTTGCGTCAATGTTAGCAGGTCTTGCCCCATCATGCCAGCAGTGTTTCCTGGAAAGCTGGAAATGATCAGATAAGTTATTACATTATGGATAAATGGACAAGAGACAAAAACAAAATAAAACAAATCACTAGCAAGTGGACAAATGGTAAAATGCGAGGAAGCTAGCGTTTACGTGGCCGATGACTTGAATCAGGCATCACGGATGGAAATAAAGCTCCTTGTTAGTCTTTGAGGTCTACTTGAACCTTTAGGCCAGTCAGAAATACGAAGGGGTGTCTGTATGCTTCACTAAAGCCAAAAGACAAAGAAGCAACAGAACCCCAAGATCACTCTTCGGAGTCCCTGAGCCAGTGTCCTTTTGTGGCTACTAAACTGCTATTTCTGCAGCCCCTCATAGAAATGGAAGAGAAAGAAGAAGAAAAAATGTGAGGATCATGAATCTGTCTGGGTCACACTGACTTTGAGAATCACAGCTGATGAATTAGTTTTGTCAAGTGATTCTTTGTTTGACATTGTGGCTAAACTAATAACATAGCCTGTTTGTTACTGGAAGTTCACCTTTCTAGGTGTATCTGCCGCAACCTGGGAGTATTCCTGAGATTGTTGTAGTACAAGTTCATGTCCTACAAACACACTGGGTTTCTTCAGGTTCTCTGACATGCCTCTTCTTGGGTGTCACATTTCAAACCATAGTTCACTGATGATCAGCGTTTCAGCTGCCAGGCTGCATACTGATTCATTTTATTTATCTTATATTCAGTACATCTTGCAACATAAAATTCATATTGTTTTGGATGTTGTCATCATTCTGTGGACACAAACTAACTTATTGAAAATAGATTTTTGAACGACAGCATTAACTCTTAATGTGTCCAATATCTCTAGCTTCTTAAAACTCCCTACTGCGTAGTATGTAATAAAGAAATTATAAAAAGTATTATGCATAAGCACTGTTATAAACCTTGCTAATGCAAAATAACCTTTTATAAAACTTCTGATGGGTTTCAAAAGGAACTACAAAGCGTGCATAGTACTTAATTTTCATAACTTTTTAATACGACGCATTAGAAATGTTATAAACCGTGTTAATTAAGCGATAATCTCTGTGGCTCTCTGTAGATGAAGCAATAAACGGCTACTGGAATAGATTACTCGGCAAAGCAGAAGGGAGTTTGTTTAATCAGTCTGGGAAGCCTACACAACAAAATCCATTGTCTTGGTTATGAAAACAAAAAACCAAACCTGCCTGTCACTAAGGAGTCAGATGTTTTGCACCACCTCCGATTTCAGTAATCTCTGCAGGATTCTGGCACCGAACTACCGACTCCGTGGAGCAGAATTGTCTCAACTCTCATTGCCCTCGTTGCTTTTGCAGTTATTACTATTGCCTGCGTTTTGTATTCGAGTGAAGTTCACAAAGTGTATTGTGCAAACATGCAAGAAGATGGTTCTCGCCCTGAATAGTCTACTGATAAAAGCAAAATACACCCAGAGTCAGGACGTCTGATAAAAATGCAGACATTAATGTATGTTGAACAGATTTTAAAAATAAAATAAATCAGTTAATGTCTTCTCCTGCTGGTTACTGTTGCTCTTCCTAACCATTATCATTTACCTACTGTCCTGAAGGTGTGATGGTAGCAGTGACTCACAGGGAACTGTAGATAACAACAGTTCTAGTGAGACTGTTCACCTGGGAGAAGATCCTAAATCTGCTGTGGAGATCTGGACAAATACAAGAGTTAGGCAGGCAAGACTGGCACTGTAAAAGGTTGCATTTAGTGGTATTTTTGTATAGAAAGCCTATTAATGTAGTCACAGCATAACTGGAAGTTGGTCATGCCAAAGATTCAAGCCTGGTAAAAAATCTTGTCTTTAACAAGATGGCCAGTGAATCAATGGGATATTCTGTTGTCTTGCAACAAATATGCACAGTGCTTACTCAGTGCTCTCTTGAGTAGTAGCCCAACACAGGGCTATATTCTTCTCTAAAAATGTCCTAATGGCTCTTTCCTTTTTTTTTTTCTCCCCAGAATGTTTGTATGATAGAATAGCACAAGAAACTGTGGATGAAACTGAAATTGCACAGAGACTCTCCAAAGTCAACAAGTACATCTGTGAAAAAATCATGGATATCAATAAATCCTGTAAAAATGAAGAAAGGAGGGAAAGTGCAAAGTACAACTTGCAATAAATTTTGGATTTTTAATAAAGTCTTAGTGTTTTACTTAAGTGTTGGTTTTTGATTTGTGTGACATTTTTGCTGATGGGAGAAGCTGACTTCAAGCATTACTCTCCTCCAGTAACTGATTCATTTTTTGAACAGTTCTGTCAAAAGCCTTTCTATGGTGTAACCTGCTTTAAAATAATGTAAGATATATCGTAAGTCCACTCACAATGAAACAGTGAATTTTCAAAGGTTTTTCCAATGAGTTGCAGTATGTTACCTGCAGTTCTGTATATAGGCTGTATTTCTGCGAACACCAACCGTTTTTGCCTACATTTTTGTTTTACTGGAGTTAGTGGATCTCGGCTGCAGTAAACATCTGCAGATGCTAGAAAGAACTGTACAAAATCCACTTTGCTATTGAAAAGAGTTTTATTGTATTTTACAAAGTGTTTTTCTGAACTGAAATTTTAATCATTTGTTTTTATAAATCTTTGTTTTGATCTCTAACAATATATTTGGTCGAAAACACACAAAGAATGCTTCTTTTTCACTTATTATCTTGTAAATAGATCACAGTTGCCATCACAGTTAAAAAAAACAAACAAAAAAACAAACGAAAAAACAAAGAACTCAAAGCTGAAAGTTGTAAAATCACAATAATTTATTTAAAAAAAAATCTAAAAGTAGTTCTTTTTCAGGCAGCGAAGTACTTTTCAGATTTCTGGTTATGGTACAAAGCTCTTCAGTATGTCCATATTACTGTTCTTGAAACACTGTCTGTTTAGTGTATATGTAGTTTAAAATGATTTAAAGGTTGCTGCACAACAAGATTATGTGTAATAGAAAATTTAGTACTGTTTCCTTTGAGTCCATAGTTTAACAATGGACACTTTTATAGCACAAAATTAAAATAATTTTCTACATTGAAGTTAGATTAGGAATAATTTGTTGTGGGTCTGAGTTATGCCTTATTGTCTGTAAGCGGAAGAAAATAACATGAAGTCTTGTTACAAACCTTGTAAGGTTTGTAAAGATAGCTTAGGGCCTGGACTGATCAATTTTGAGGGTTTGTTATATTAGTGATCTCAGTTAACCTTTCTTTTATTTCGTGCATATGGATGTGATTATCTACCTTTCAGGCTGTGTGTTCCTGAGTATCAGCATTTGTGTTTTTTTCCTACCACTGCACTTCAGCTTCCTTTGGATTTGAAACACTTAACCATTTAATATCATCTTCATGTAGCACTGGTATACCCTAATGGTAAACCTATTTCAGTGTCTTGTATGCACAGATAATTTGAACAGCGATGCAAGGATTCTTTAAAGGGCTGAGGTGGATGGAAGAAAGAGGGGAAGGGGGAGGAGGAGGCATGCTAGAACTGCAGTGCCTGTTTTGGAAGAGATGGACACCACGTTGTCTCTTCCTGAGCACCCCATGTGCTTAAGTGATGTCTTAATTCAGGGCATAAGTATGTGGTTTGCGCTCCCTAAAGTGCAATTTCATGATTGGCTTGTGCCAACCTAAGCACTCCGTGCTGCCGGAAGAGTGCACCCCGCTTTGACTGCTCGTGTCCCTGCGTTCCCGTCCCTTCAACTGGTACTTGTGGTTGCGCAGATGTGTCTGATCTCACTGATTTTCATGGTTCAGTTCATAAGGGCTGGTGCCAATAGGATGGAGTCAGGGAGCCTTCATAGCAAGGAGGAGGAGGAGGAGGAGTGTCTTTTTACAGTGGCTTATGCGTATTCTGAAACTGCATTTAACAGCCTAGCTTGTCTCCTCTTAATCTCAAAGTGTTCTTAGCTAGTGTTTAATGAAGTGCATAAATGTTTCTGCTTCCAAATTTGGGATGCTAAATAGCAAATTAGTGTTTATAATGGCAGTGTATGTATCCTTTTATTAATTAAAGAACAAAACAGAGATAACACTGAAGAAACACTTAAACGGCAAGTTCCCACTTTTCAAGCAGGCTTGTGAATGTACAGGTTTTTTTAAAGTGATACTAGGACAATCCACTAGTTTGGGGGAAAATGTCCCTAATTTCCTCAGTCTTTTATGGCTTTAGTACTAATGTGTTTTCATTGTAATAGATTCTTTAATGAGAAGATCATGCTGTACTTCTTAGAAGGTAAGCCTATTTGAGACAGCATTTTATGAAACCTCAGAAAAGCAGATTAGAATTTAATTAGAGTTAGGACTCCATCCTGGCCCCAAAAATCAGAGATTCTAAGTCTTTTCACAAAACCAGCATCATTCTAAGGCTTCTCCTTGACAGACTTGTCCCATCAGATGTTAATGCTGCATATTGCTGAAGAATTTCAGTTTTCTCTTTGGGGAAGGTATTTTGGAAGTCTTCATTCATTTGTTCCTGGAGTTTCTCTCAGCTCAGGTCCAGCAGGTAGTATTTAGCAGAGTTCAACAGGCGTATTTGGGTGGCACAAAAAGGTTCACTTCCCTTTGAAGTGTGATGTTGTTGGGACCTAATGCTGTGTCCTTTGGACTGTGCCACTGACATTTAATGTGAGCATCACTTGAAGCTTTACTGAGTTATAGTAAAGGAATAGGATGTATTAAAAGTAATGTACTTCTTTATTGTATTATAACTTGAACTAAATGTTTGGATTTCTGGAAATAAGCATTTGCTAATAATAAGCCAGGTTTGTGCACAGTAGTTGTAAGGCAGTATGCGGAGGGCTCCGTCATGGATAACAGATGTGTACGAATAGTATCTTTGCACTTATGTTTGGTCATTACTCTTGTCTTTTCCCTTCCCATGAACCCATATGAAGACCATGCAAGTCTTTTCCAGTGTGTGTGTTTCAAGTAGGCAAACGGGCCTACAGTTCTCGTGTGTTCCAGCATTACCCAAGAAAAATACGGATTTTAATGGGGTATGCTTTTCTGCATTGAAATACTGATTGATAAATTAACTGTGAATTTTATTTCACTACATTATACTGCATTTATGGCCAGTGCTGTTCTTGTTGGTACACTAATTCTTCCCTAATTGTGCCTGCTTGTACATAGCGTCGCTTTGTTCTTAATGCGTCTGCCATGAAGCCACCATAGGAGATTTTATGTGACAATAGCACCTACTAACTTTTCCCTCCTCTAGCTTAACTTCATACCTGTACATCATGTGAAACAGGACAGAATTTTGACATAAAATGAAGTAGGTTTTATTACACCCTGTAATACCCCTCGTTCATCATTCTAAGGTTTGTGCTGTGCTGTTACTTCATACTGTAAACCTGGATTTGTAAGTATCAGAAAAACACAAGTTTAAGAGGAACTGACTTTTTGTCCTGAGAGATCAGTGCATACTATTTACTTCTCTTTTTTTGATAAAAGAAGGAAGAAGGTGTTACGTGAATAATCTGATCGTTTGTTGCCACACATTGCTGCTGTAATTTGTGATACTCATGTCCTGAGCCATATTAAAGTGCTTCTGGCACTCTTGAAAGGGAGGAAGATGAGTTAACAAAAAGGGCTTTATTTTCTATTAATGATTTTATAATGGAAATGAGCTGTTATATTAAAGGAAGGAATCCTACCGGAGATTTTAATACCTCAGTCAAGATGTCTAGCCACTCAATTAAAAGAAGAAAGCTAGTATTTGTTAGGGAAAAAAAAAAAAAGTTCTGCTGTTACAGAACAGGTTTGAATTTAGTGATGCTTTATAGAGATGGGAGATTTGGGTTTTGTTTTGTTTTTTTTTTTAAATACAGCCAGACTAAAATACTTCTTTAGTCATGTCAAAGTTGAACTATAAGTAGAAGGAATTTAAGGTTGCATTTGATTAGCTGTTGAGCATTACTGTCGAAAGAAGGTGCAATCTCCCTGTGGGAGGTCATTTCTTGACACCGTACCTTTGATGCTGTGTCTGATAGATTACTACAATGCTGCTTTGTTGTCTTAAGCATAGATTATTGTCCTCTTGAAGTTTTAAGTAGCAGTAAATTTAACTTTTTTGGATTTAGTGGAATTGTAAAGATAATTCAGCTTCACACTTCCAGAGTGTATAGATCTTTAAAAATAAAGCTAAGTGCAGGTCATTGTTAAAATAATACTATTTTGATGCAAAACCTCAAAGGAGTGGGAATGTTCTGATTTGAGAACATTCTGTATTAGCTGTAGCCTCACTGTGCATTAGCTGCATTTGTAACTCTTGAGAAACCCAAACTTGGACTGTTTCTGAAAGGGAAAGCAAGGTTGTGTCATAATGAGCCATACTGAGGATTATGTCAATATTCCATCTTTTGGTGTGACAATGGCCAATCTTCTGAAAGGTATAAAGATGAAACTTGTGCTTCTTCAGAAGGAGGTGGTAGTTTTCTCAGTAGCCTTGAAAATATTTGTCGTTCTGTGCATGCCTTTAGTCTCGGATTGATGAAGTCATAACATCAATTGCTTAGACTTTATTGGTGTCATTTTTTTCATCGTAACATTATGGAACTGTGAAGTGATTCATACAACGCTGAGGCAATAAAAATGTTATGAAGTGCAATCATTGCATGTTTCATGCTCAGTAGCTAATTTTTAATTTCACCATCTTGGACACTTTTTCATCCCCTCAGGTTTCTGAAATAGGAAAGGAGAATCATTTGGTCTTGGAAAATGGGACCAGTGATTCAAGAAGGAATTAATTTACTTGATTGTTTATTTGCTTTACTTTTGCAATTATTGCTGCTGTTTATGTTTGAACAATAACTTTCATTCTGTGCATCAAATACCCACTTGTTCAGTCCTGCAGTGAAATCAGTCCTGTGGTTGTGATATCATTTGTTGACCATAAAGAGAAAAATACCTCACCTGTGACATCAGATTAAGTTGCACTGTGTCTGGATCAGAACAGTTGAAAGTGAGCCTGGGAGGAGAGGAAGAAGCTGAGCCTAAAGGATTTTTTTCTGTGCTGTCTTCTCACTAGAAAACTTCTTCCTACAAAGGAATTTATTTCCTCCACGTTTGGCAGAATAGCAACTTTATGTCCTTGTTTATTGATAGTAAAACCTTAATGGAACTAAAC